CACAATGAGCTCGGCTGTAATCTGTCTTATCTGCACACACGAACACACACACACACACACACACACACACACACTGAATTAAAGTGAGAGGTTGATAAAGAAGCTGAGGTGAGCTGACAGCAGGACGACCACCTACGAGACTAGTAATAATAATAAAACGTTATAATGATAATCTTGGTTGCAACATTGACCAACAGGTTCAAAGTTCCCCGGAAGAATAATGAACAGAAAGAGGACTAACGCCCACGATTTCAAGTTACAAAAGAGGATCTTCACAACAACTTACCTTTTCCTGAGAAGAGACCTCTAGTGGCTGTGAGAGTGATGGCTGTCTTCCGCTTCAGTAGCAAAACTAACATGACCTTGTTACGATTCTGTACATTGTTTTCAGGCTCAAAACTGCATTTAAAATGATTAAACTCTAACTCTTTTAATTTCATTGAAATTAAACAGTGGTTTAACATTTACTCAAGTGTTGTACTTAAGTACACATTTAAGCTATCCTACTTCCACACCACTACATCTCAGAGGGTAATATTGTACTTTTTTACTCCACTACATTTGCCTGACAGCTTTAGTCACCCTTCTGTCCAGTGAAAACTATGTATCTCCAAATTTGGTGATTTTTAATGTTTTTGTGTCAATGATAGGCCTGTGTGGTTCCCACAGGACAGCGACACTACAAACATAACATGGTCTTGTAGTGTATGGTGCATTACTGTAGAATAAACTACCAACAGTACATAAAGTAGTTAAAATCAGCACAACCTTGAACATCTACAGCAGTAAAACGACTAGTAAAAGACTACACAGTAATGCAGCAGTCATATTAATCCAAAAACATCACATAAAATAGTGAAACACTGACAGGGACCATTGTACTACACAATGAGTACTTTTACTTTTGATATAAGTGTATTTTATTGATTAGTAAGTAGTAAGGTTAACAAGGACTCTCGTGTAGTATTTCCACAGTGTGGTGTTTGTACTTTTAAAGTAGTCGTAAAGGATCTGAATACTTCTCCCACCAATACATCGGATCAGACTCACTCACGGCTGCGCAGTAACCTCAAGTTCAACTGTGAAATGTGAATTTGCTCCATTGACCAAAAGCAAACCATTTTGACGGAGCTGATCTTTGAGGGAATGAAAAGGTCAAATGGGAGGAAGCTAGCGTTGCTTATTAACTGTGTGTCACCATCCAGTTTTATGTAACTGAGGTGTCCTGTCTGAAAATAAACTGCTCTACAACAGAGACATGGTTTGCACACAGTTACTACACAGGAGTGGGTGGGACACTCAACTGTGTGAGCAGAGCTAATGAGCTAGCTATGTGAGAATCACACTAGCAAATGAGCTAGCTCTTCGGTAACTCTTTATGGCTGGTTAGCATGTTAGCATTAGCTAGTTGTGGATACACTGTTTACTTTCACTGTGCACTTTTTGGCGTGACAGGCCTTCATGGCAGAATCAGACTCCATGACGTGAGTCTGATAATGGTCCGACCCAACACACATTAAGTACATGGGAACCAAATTATCGTCGGGTGCAGTAGTTGCGTTTTAGAAAAAGACTCGTATGTCAGATTTTTGGTCTGTCAACCTTGCTTAGTGACTTTGACCAACCGGAGCACATGAGCTTACACGTGGTTACGAGGATTAACTGTCAGTAGGAAGGAACAGTATTTCCTGACATCTTACCTGATTGGTTGGTTTGTTGTGACAACAATTAAACCAGTCCCCATGAATTCTGCACAACCTTGATATTTTGTCCAATCACCACAACTATTTGAACATTTGTTGTAATTTCCTGTGTGTTTTACCTCATAGCAGTCCTCTGCGCAAAACATTGAGCCATACGTCACCAAACTATCTGCGATTCTTATTCTCACTGGAACAAGTT